GAGCCTGGGTGGCTCCATCGGTTCAGCATCTGCCTTTGGCTCAGGTCATGATCCCAGAGTGCTGGGATTGAGCCCCACTTCGGGCTCCCTGCTCAGTGGGGAGTGTGTTCTCCTTCTCCATCGCCCTCTGCCCCTCCCCCATTCGTGCTCTCCTTCTCTCAAATAAAGAAAATCTTTCTTAAAAAAGATAATGGTGGCCCATTTGGTTGGCCTCTTCCCAGGAAAAACCCAATCAGAGCTGCATAAGAACTTTAGGGCTCTCAGAGTCAAAAACCCTAACATAATATTCCTCTTCAGTTATCTCATAACCTGTGTTAATATATATATATATTTTTTTTTGTAAGCAGGGGAATTGCCAATGATGTCCCAGTATCCTTCTCTTTCCTGACACTCTCCTCACTTTCCCATTTACAGTAGTCATTTCTCAGAAAAGTTAAGATGGAAATGTCAATCAACTTGAGCTAAGACATCACTCCTGCTCTAAAAATGCTAACTTTACACACAGAAAGAACTGTTCATGAAAGGGAGGCAAACCATGAGACTTTTAACTCTAGGAAACAAACTGAGTTTTGCTGGAGGGGCAGTGGGTGGGGGGATGCCATAACTGGGTGATGGGCATCAGGAGAGGGCACTTGATGTAATGAGCGCTGGGTGTTATTATATACAACTGAAACTAATAATACCCTTGAAACTAATAATACACTACATGTTAACTAAATTGAATTTAAGTAAAAAATAAATAAAATTAATAAATAAAAAGAACTGTTCATTAAAACAAACAAGAAAGGCTAACATCCTCACCTCTCCTGATATTTGAATAGTGTTCTTCTTCCATCAGTTAGACCTGCTTTGCTCTTGGGTTGTCCACCATAATTACACTTCAAACATGTGTTTTTCATACTATTATGTTATGCATTAAGACCTACACAGCTCCACAGTAGCCTCTCCACGGCATAGAGAAGTAACATTCACATTATCAATAAATTGAAACGGCCACAAAAATTTGGAGAGATCTTTCCCAGCAGCTACTTAGATCTCAGGGACAGTCTAAGAAGTTTGACAAAACGCTCTCCTTGACCAAATTTTAGTCAGTCTCCTCTGAACCCTCTTCTCTACGAGGCCTCTATCTTGGGCACGCACACATCCCCCTTCCAGTCCACAGCCTTAGCCCACTTCTAGCAAGAATCCTGCTGAGTCAGTTTAGAGAGAACTCGCCCCCACCCTGGATATCTGATCAGCCTGGCCTGTCATCAGCAAGAATTCCTCTCCCCCTACTGTCACCTCGGAATGTCTACCCACTGATTCCCTTACTCTGCCTGTGGGCTGTACTTCCCCAACCTGTCTTTGCTGTATTCAGAGCTGAGTCCGTATCTCTCCCCTAGTGTGGTAGTCTCGACGCCTACTTCCATATTACTGAATAAAGTCTTCCTTTGCATTTTAACACAAGTGCCAGAATTTTTTTTTTTTTTCCTTGAACGACTTCCCAACAAAAACCCAAACCCAGAATCTTTTTCTGGAAGGAGAAAGGCTTCGGGGCTTGTCTGCTCATTGTCCAAAGAGCTGTCCTTTGAACGTTTCGGAGTAGATCCCTCTATACAGTTACTTCCTCCACGAGATTACATGCTCGAGCTTTAACAGGTAACAACTACGCGTGCCAGGAAGTTCCTTCCCCATGTATACTACGAACCCGAAGTTCTGGACCTATGCTTGCCAGCATCCGAGGTTGCTTCCCCAAAGATCCTGGACCCCTCCTTAGGCCCCTCCACACTCCGTTGCTGGTCTACCCTTCATAACGCATTCCTTGAAGCTTCGACAGGGTGCCTCGGGTGCTCCTCCAAGCAAATGCAAACCACTGGTGAATGCAAACGAGCACAGGGATAAGTGCACCCAGGTCACACTCGGTTAAAGCGTAAATCCGGGCTCTTCCTGCCTCCGGCCCGCCGAGGGCACACACAGCGCATCGGAAGCTGACGGCCCCCGGGGGGGGGCAGGGTAAGGAGGGGAACCGAGAAGGCGGAGGGCACCGCGGCGCAGGCCGGTGCGAAGGAGACGCGAGGAGGGTCGGGAGCTCCGCGGGGAGGAACGTGACGAGCCGACCTGCCGGAAACTGCGCCGGGAGGAGGGTCCGGAGCTGGAGCGGGGCCGTCCCCCGGCGCCGCCGAGGCCCGCTGACATCAGCCGCGCTCCTCCCCCTCGCCTCCCAACACCCTCAGCTCACGGCCGGACCCTCCTCCTCCCACCACGTGTCCTGCCCGCTCCCTCCCGAGGGGCCGCGCGCACGGGAGAGCCGGAGAGGCGGCGGGGATGGCGCTGTGACAGCCGGG